TTTCAGCTTTGTAATAATGCAGACCATGGGAAGCAATGGTGATGGCTCAGTCCGTTGTATCCCTGCCACCCGCGTGGGAGATCCAGATTGAATAACTGGTTCCTGGATTCAGTTTAGCCTAGATCTAGCTCTTGCAGGCATTTACAGTATGAACTAGTGGGCAGGAGATCGTTGTCTCCTTAACTTTCAGATAATTTTTAATAAAAAGATAGCAACACACAGTTTGAATTTTTAAACTGTAAACAATCCTCTTTTCCTTCTAAGATATCTCGCTTTGGGTATTTCATTATAGTAGTGGAAAACGGACTGGAAGAGCCCTAGATGGCAACATACGCACAGACATTGAGGGCTAGGGTATGGACATTTTCTGGAACACCACAGGAAATAAATTTCAGGAACAGGCATCTGAGGATGCTGTGTGCTCATCCCTCACCCTTCTCAGCACTGGCACTGGCGTGTTGCAAGCCTTCTACTCCCTGGAAGCCCCCTACTCAGCTCAACTGTTCTGGGTGTAAGGTGGGCCAGGAGGAAGGGCAGCGTATCTATAGTATCATCTCATACTTTCTCACAACTCTTGTGTTGTTGTTAGTATGTGAGCCATGATATTAGTCATGTCTTTTAAAAGCAAACCCCCTTCTGAGCACAGAAATTCTGTAAGGGAGGTACCGGTGGGGCTGTTTCAGAATGTGTTCACCAAGGCATGGGATAATTTTAAAAAATTATTTATTTTTATTGGAAAGTCAGATATACAGAGATGCAGATCTTCCATCCGAGGATTCACTCCCCAAGTGGCCACAACAGCTGGAACTGAGCCAATCCGAAGCCAGGAGCCAGGAGCTTCATCCGGATCTCCCATATGAGTTCAGGATCCCAAGGCTTTCCCTGGCCACAAGCAGGGAGTTGGGTGGGAAGCGGGACAGCCAGGACATGAACGGGCACCTATGCTGGATCCTGGTGGATGCAAGGCGAGGATTTTACCCACTAGGTTACCGCACAGGACCCCAAGGTGTTGAATGTTTATGAAACTTGCTTGAAGCCACACAGCTAACATGTGACCCATCCTAGATTTCACTCAGGCTGCCTGGCCAATGTTCCCTCCTATAGTCAGTCACCCCACCTGACTGACTCATTGCTGTGTGTCCCCCAGGAGTACACAGAAATAATGGCTGTTGCCAGGGCAACACAATTCCTGTTCCTGAAGGGTAATAATACTCAGAGTCTCATCCATCTTCTCTCAATGTCTTCATCTCCGAGATGATTAGCTCCTCCCACTCTGTGTTCTGCGGCAGGTCCTCCTGGGCTGTACATAACATTGGCTTTCATATTTGGGTGTGCATCCTTATTCCTTCATGCCACATCATGTTTGAAAAATGTATGTAATTTGTTTGGAAGGCAGAGCAACAGAGAGAAGAAAGGAGAGGAGAGGAGAAAACAGACAAGAGAGAAGATAGGAGAGCATTTCCATGGGATGGCTCTCTCACTAGATGGTTTCAATAGATAGGTTTGGAACAGACCAGACCCAGGGGCCAGTGGGGTCACAAGGGACTGGTCATCATTGTTGCAGCACAATGCTAGCCTTCAGACCGCACGTTTTAGTCTACACCAGGAGCTGGCACTGTCCCAGTCTCACGCCTTTGTTTCCATTGCCGCTCAGCTTGTACCACCCCCTGCACAGGCCAGACTCGGCCCACTCTTGAGACTCGATCCAGACACCACCTTATACCGTCACAACTTCCCAGGCAGAAGTCCCTTCTCCTGCAACCACTTTCTCCTTGGTCTCTTTCTCTAACCTGATTCTTCCCTGTCTACCTGATGTTATGTTATCAGGGCATATGCCTAATTGAGACCCTGGGCTGTTTATTTTGGGTTTCTATAGTCAAGGCTGTGCTTTTTTTTTTTTTTTTGGATGATGAGAAACATGACTGTAATAACTTCATATTTGATGGAGATAGTAGCAATCACTTCACCACAGAAACAAGGTTTGGGGTTTATCGGTTAGCAGCAATCCTCCCGACCCCAGAGGAACATGGGTGAGCAAACACGTGGCTGGGAATCATTTGAACCTGAACCCTGTCCAGTGCCTCACTGTAAAGCACGCCTGAGCTACCGCAGCCACCAGTTTCTCTTACCCTGCAGCCTTGGCCTCGTGTGCCGCTCCCCACACCCAGCTGGAACACCCCTGGCTTTGGGACGCCTCTCCACCTCATTAGTCATTGTCTCCCGAGCTCCATGGTGTCCAAACACAGCACATTGGGAGTTAGTTGTATCTAGAGCTGGTTTCACAACTGGACTATTGGCCAGCAAGAGTGGAGGGTATTACTCACACTTGCATCATCAGACCCTGTTTGTTGACTGAATAACACAGCATCTTCAGCACTTTTTTTTGGTATTGTATGTGCAACCTGTTCTTCTCAAGAGAAGTACGGGACACTGTCCACACACATCAAGCCAGTTGTGCATGCAATGGTGTTTATTTCAAAATAATTGATTTCAAAAGTTAGTGTTTTTTTTTTTAAGTACTTCCGGCCCATTTTTGTGGGCCCAGCATTTCAAGCTGCTGCCTGTAATGCTGGCATTCCATATGGGCTCTGGTTTGTGTACATGTCCACTTCAGATCCCTGCTAATGAGCCTGGGAGAGCCCCAATCCTTGCCTCCTGCACCTTCTTGGGAGACCAGAATGGAGTTTCAGAATATCAGCTTTGATTTGGTCCAATCCTGGTCATTGTAGCCATTTGGGGAGTGAACAAGAGGGTGAGAGATTTTTTTTTCTTTCTTTGTTTTTTTCCTCCCTCTTTAACTCTGACTTTCAAATAAATAATTTTAAAAATGTATTTTGGGGGGGCCTAGCACAATATCCTAGTGGCTAAAGTGCTCACCTTCAACGCAATGGGGTCCCACTGGACTGCTGGTTCATATACCAGCTGTTCCTCTTCCCATCCATCTCCCTGCTTGTGGCCTGGCGAAGCAGTCAAGGACAGCCCAAATTCTTGGGACCCTACACCTGCATGGGAGACCTGGAAGAGGCTTCTGGCTCCTAGCTTCAGATTGCCTCAGTTGCAGCCATTGCAGCCGCTTGGGGAGTCAATCAACGGACACAAGATCTTCTTCTCTGTCTCTCCTCCTCCTCTTTGCATATCTGACTTTCCAATAAAAATAAATCCTTTTTCTTAAAAAAAAAAAGTATTTTGGGGAGTTGGTGTTGTGGTGCAGTGCGGTAAGCTGTAGCCTGCAGTGCCAGTGTCCCATAAGAGCACTGGTTGGACTCATGCAATCCTACTTCCAGTACAGCTCTCCACGTTGACTTGGGATAGCATGGAAGATGGCATAAGTATGTCAGCCCCTGCCACCCGTGGGAGAAACCTGCATGGACTTCCAGGCTCCTGGTTCTGGCCTGGGCCAGCTCTGGCCATCATGGTCATTGGGAAGTGACTCAGTGGATGAAAACTGATATCTCCATCACTCCTCTTCTATCCCTGTCACTCTGCCTTTTTGTTAAAAAAAAAAAAAAGGTTTATTTCATTTTCATTGGAAAATCAGACCTACAGTGTGAAGGAGAGACAAAGAGAAAGATCTTCCCTAAGTAGCTGTAATGGCTAGAGCTGAGCCAATCCAAAGCCAGGAGCCAGGAGCCTCCTCTCGGTCTCCCTTGCAAATGCAGGGTCTCAAGTCCCTGGGCCGTCCTCAACTGCTTTCCCAGGGCACAAGCAGGGAGCTGGATGGGAAGTGGAGCTGCCGGGATTAGAACCGGCGTCCATATGAGATCCAGGCGCATTCAAGGCAAGGACATTAGCCACTAGGCTACGCTGCCGGGCCCGAGCACACGTTTTTAAAACTCCATATTCTCTTCCTATGTAAGCATGTATGTACTACATACTATCTTTTTTAAAGGTTTATTTTTATTGGAAAGGCAGATTTACAGAGACAAGGAGATACAGAAAGAAAGGTCTCAGTCTGCTGGTTCACTCTTTAAGTGAAAACAACGGCCAGAGCTGAGCTGAGCTGAAGCCAGGAGCCTGGAGCTTCTTCCAGGTCTCCCATGTGGTTGCAGGGCCCCAAGGCTTTGGGCCATTCTCTGCTGCTTTCCCGGGCCACAAGCAGGGAGCTGGATGGGAAGTGGGACAGCCAGGACATGAATGGGCACCTATGCTGGATCCTGGTGGATGCAAGGCGAGGACTTAGCCGCTGAGCCACTGCGCCTGGCCGTTCCATACTAATTTTTGAAAGCAGGGGTGGGTATATTGATATCATATAACAGGGGATTCATGACAAAGATCACAAAGCAGAGAATGGAGAGTGTTATTGTGTAAGGAGTGTAACTTAGTGAAGACAAATAAATATATACCAAGTAACATGTCATTACATTCACACGTACGTTATTCCACATATGACAGAAGACACATACTCATCTTTCGGTGGCTTGTTTCACTTCACATAAAGCTCTCCGATTCGATTACGGTGTTACAAATACCTGTATTCCGTGCTTGTGGCTCAGCGGTATCCACTGTGCGTGTGTGAATCCTACATGGACATACCAAAGGACGGTTTCTCCTGTGTGCGTAGATTACACGGTAAGGCTGAAGCGCGACCAACCCTCCACTGTTGGGCATTGAGGTTGTTTCCAGCACAAGCATCTTCCAGCACCTGGTAATGCACTTTTGGATATTTCATTCTTTCTCCTCTCTCTCTTTTTTTTTTTTTTTTTGCCAAACATTTCCCAAGGAGGCTTGGAGACATTGGCCAAGGGATTTTTATCCTCTTTCGCAACGTTAACCCCTTCCATGACAACACACCTGGAGTAAGTGCACAAGGACGCGCAGCTGCGTTTTCAGATTTAAACGCGGGCCCATCCCCAGCCCGGGTGGAACGAATCTGCCCAGTGGGCATCATCGCGGGGCGGGATTCCTTACGACAAGCTCACTTCCGGTCCCGCCCACCACAGGCCTGCGCGGAGCTTCCGGGTCCTCCAGGCTCCCGGCGTGCCGCGCGCGGTCCCGGAGCGGCGTGCGTCGGAAGCTGTGTCGGCGGCGGCGTCTTCTTCTTCCGCAGCCGCGGTGTCCGAGGCCAGGACGGCCATGGAAGTGTAAGCTTTGGGGCGAGATACACGGCAGACAGGAGCTGCGGAGGGGCGGGGAGGAAAAGGCCTTTTCGCTCTGGGGCGCAGGCCGCCGTGACTGCGCCGTGAACCCCCGTCGCTCTCTCCCCATTCGTTTATTTACTGGTCCTTCCTGGGTCTCAGCGATCAGGGGAGCATGACCGGGTCTCCGAGCGGGGACCTGGGAAACCCTGGAGCCTAGAAGTAGCTTGGAGAAGAGACGGAGAAGGGTTGGAGCGGAGCCGTGCTTGGGGCGGCGGGGGCTCCTGGAAAGGGGCGGTGTCGGGGTTCGCTGGGGCGCACTTAGCCCTTGAAGGGGTGGACGCTGTGTCGGGGCTGGATCTGCTGCAACGGCAGAGAAGGTGCGCGCAGAAGTACGGGGAGGAAAAGTTTTAATAACTCCACGTGGTCGTTGCCCTGTTTCCTCGCGGTTCCGCATGCAGGCCGAGGTTTTTTTTGCTAATATCCTTGCGTGTGGCTTTTTACATGGGCGGTGTTAATTTGTAAGCATGCCTATATTGTGTTTTCTGCGGCACCTGTAAAACATTTTCCTTTAGGTGCTTTTTGCTTCATGATTAGTGGTTATATGTACTGGTGTTGGCTTCCAGACTTTTTTTTTTTTTAATAAAGATTTATCTGAAAGGCACAGTTACATAGGAGAAACAAATGGGCCGATCTGAAGCCAGGAGCTTCTTCCTGGTCTGCCACATGGATTCAGGGGTTTTGGCACTTAGGCCATCCTCTGCTGCCTTCCAGGGCGTCAGCAGGGAGCTATTCACCCATGGAGCAGCCAGGACTAAAATGGATCCCTTTGTGGGATGCCTGTTCTGCAGACAGATGCTCAGCCTGCTACACCAAGCTGGGGACCCCAGACTTTTTTTTTGTAAGTAGCTATCGGCATATAAAGCTGAAATGATGGGTTCAATCTCTTACTTACACTGTACACTCTGCTCTTATGTATTCTCTTTTACTAAAAATTGACCCACTAGATGAAGTTTGTAGCCAACCCACTGGTAGAATTTAATCTGCAGCTTAATTCATGTGTATTATTCCAAGATAAGCCACCATCATTAATTTCCTTCCTTACCTGCGTATTTCCTTATTAGTATACAAACAAGTTTAAAATGTGTACATTGTATTGACTGCTTTTTGTATCTGCAGTGGACTACCCAAGGCAACTAACTTTACAAAGAAAAACGGGTTCTTTATTCTCTAGTTCACGGTTGTGCAGGGTCACGGTCCAAGATGGAGCAGGCCCCATTGCTCCAGCTTCTGGGGGTGGCATTTGCGTTGGCAGGATTCTCAAGTGGCACAGGGCATCATGTTGCATGAAGCAGGGAATGGGCTTTAGGCGGTCACTTAGAATGCTGGGATTTCGTTAAGACCGATCTAATGACCTGATGCGCTATTTCCCAAAGGGTCTACCTTCAACTATCGCAACTGGATTAAGTTTCTACTCTTTTAGTGCCATTAACATAAGAGTTCGTGGACCAAACACTCAACTCATGAGCCTTTGGGAGACACTCAATATCCAAACTCATGTCTAAGCCGTAGTATACACTTTCTCTAAGATTCTCTTTTCTTTTTAATTAGAAAAGCAGAATTAGATCTTTCATCTGCTGAGTCACTCCTTAAATAGCCACAGCGGCCAGAGCTGGGCTGGTCTTCCAGCTCTCCCTCGTGGATGTAGGGTCCCAGGGATTTCAGCCATCTTCCACTGTCGTCCCAGGCACACTCACAAGGAGCTGGATCAGAAGTAAGGCAGCTAGTCTCCGTTCAGGAATGGACTTGAACCCGCACTCATATGGGATGCCGGGAGGATTAGCCCAGCCCCAGAATTCATCTTTTAAAAAGATCTTGTCGCCACATTCGTGCTTACCTGTTCCCACATTTCTGCCTCCCCTCACAGCAAAATGTTGTTTATCTCCTCGTTCCCTTGGCTTACCGTTGAACTCACCGGTGCTGCAGAAATGGCTCTTGTGAAAATCACTCGAGTCTCTGTCTTGTCAAATCTCAAATTGCTTTTCTGACCTTCCCTTTCCTGTTCCCTCAGCATCAGCTGGCGCACAAATGCTAGAAGCTCTCTTGACTTTGTGACAGACCCTCCAGCACTGCTGTCGGTGTCGAGGACTGCTTGGGGCTCTTTCCTTTCTATGCTGCACTTCCTGCCTCTCATCTTGGGCATCAAAGTGTTGAGGTTATCTTAAAGCCCTGGGAACCTTCCTCTCCACTTTCTTTCCTTGTTCCCCAAAAATATATTTCGGATCCCTTTTTCTCATTTATCCTGATGCTTAAAGCACCTTACCATTAACCATGCATGTCTCCCATACAGGTGCAGGGACCCCAATCACTTGGGTCACGTCCTCTGCTGCTTTCCCAGGCACAGCAGTGGGAGCTGGATCAGAGGTGGAGCAGCTGGGCCTGGTGTGATGGCTCAATGGCTAAATCCTCACCTAACATGCGTTGGCATCCCATGTGGGTGCTGGTTGGTGTTCCAGCGGGTCCGCTTCCCACCCAGCTCCCTGCTTGTGGCCTAGGAAGGCAGTAGAGAATGGCCCAAAGCCTCAGGACGGGAGGATGCTCCTGGCTTCAGATCAGCTCAGTTCTGGCCATTCCAGCTGCTTGGGGAGTGAAGTAGTGGATGGAAAATCTTTGTCTCTCTGTATCTCCTTCTCTCTGACTTTCCCATAAAAATAAACAAATCTTTAAAAAAAGGAGGGGGAAGCAACCTGGACTCAGATTCTCACCTCTATGGAATGCCAGCACTGCAGAAGGCAGCTTTATGCACTACACCATGACACTGGTCCCTTAAGCTTTCTTGACCATTTTTTTTTTAAGATAAAATCATCTTTAGATGAAAATATTATGAATGGGAAATGCACTCAGTATCCCTAGTGTACACTGTGCTGTAACTTAGCAACGAAGGGCATTGCTGAGAATATTGATTATTTCCTGTTATGATTCTGAGATGGACTAGGAGATATTCTTGCTGTTGTCCTAGACGGGAGAAGATCCAGCCTGGGGAAAGGTCAAATTCAGTATTTCAAGCATGGTTTCTCATGAATGTATGTACTTTTTTCTGTATAATAAAGGTTGAAAATCGTTAGGTTGAACCATTGTCAGCTGTGGATGGTCTGTCTGTAAAGTGTTTGCCCAATTTAATGCCTTGAGATTATTTTTATACATGAAACATTTTGTGTTCACTTTTCTTTCTGAGTTTAATAGACACAGGAACATGAACACTGTTGTATTTGCCATCTTTTTGAAATAGTGTAAAGATGTAAGGATTTTCTTTAAAAATGTATGGTTTTTTTTTTTGTTTTTTTTTTTTATCATCTTATTTGATTATGGCACAAAGGGTCAAGGGCTACAAGAAAGTGGGTAAGACTATTGTTTCCGCACAAATATCATCATTTCATTTCCTCTGTATCTGGTGTCAGGGGAGAAACAAAGAGAAAGGCCCCACCCAGCCTCCCACCCATCCCAGGTCCAGACATGGGGCATGCTCTGAGGGTTTTGTTAGTTCAACAGTTCTGAATTGCTGCCAATCTTGCCACTCCAAGCGCAATGAAATCTTTTCAGAATCCACTGGCTGACATAGTCTCTTCAGGGTTGGGGTTCTGAGATGAGCAGTTCAATTGGAGGGATCTCAAAAGAAGACCTGATTTTTGTGTGAGTTTGCCAGTACAGGGTTCAGCCCCGTCAGTCGCCCCAGTCAGCTTGTGCACGTGCTGGTGGTTGCGATTGCTGGGTCAGTTCTGCTTCCAGCCCTGTCTTTCATGTGAACTGATGGGTGTTGTAGTTTAGCCCAGTCCTACCCACTTCATACTCGGCCCTCACACAAACCAGTGGGAGCTGCAGTATAGTTGGGGCGACTCCCAATAACTCCCACCAGGCCTGCCCCTACCCTGGCTCCCATGCTTGCCAGTATGTGCTGCAGACTTATTCAGTCTGTCCCACATCCCGTTTAGTTCTCGCACATGTCAATGGGCATTGAAACCTAGTGCAGCCCAACCAACCCTACTATCCAGCCCACACACATACTAGCAGGTGCCTTTTTGTCTAGCCACCCTGCCCCGTCTTGGTTTTTGTGCTCTCCAGTGGGAGTGGTAACCCAAGAGGGAGGTGCTCACTCTTTCCCTTCTAGGCCACTCAAACTTCCGTATTTTGCACTCTCCAGGTGGTTCTGGAGTTTAACTTGACAGAATTAGCCCCCAGTGCCAGCTCTGACTTCTGAAGCTGTGACTAAACCCAACCAACCCTCACCCACTCTAATTTATGCTTGCACCAGTATGAACAGTCAGCCCAGGCAGGCTTTTCCCTTGTTCTGGTTCACTTCAGGCCCTCAGGTGTTGTAGCCCTGCCTTGTTTGGTCTGTCCCCATCCCAACTCTTGCTCTCCTGTGGGAGTGGCTGTCCAGCAGGGGAGCCCTCCACATTCCCCTTGCCGTCTTTGCCCCCCGCTTCCCTGGTTCTTGTGTGTGCTGTTTGGGTGCTGCAGCTACTTCTGGTACAGCTCGCCTCACGTTTGCATTTGGTAATGTGCACTGCTTTGTGTTGCAACCAAACCTGGTGCAACCCACACTCTATTCTGGTGCTCAGATTCGCTAGCAGGTGATGTGAACTGGTTCAGCCTAGTCTGCCCCTTACCTATGCTAAATGTATGCTGGTGGGTATCTTCCTCTGGCCTGGTCTGGGTTGCTCCCTGTCATGGTTCTTGTGCTCATCTGTAGGGGCTGTGTTCCGACAGAGGAGTTTCCCAAGCTCCATCATCAGAACCTCTCCCATTGCCAGATCTCGCACATACTGGTGGGTCCATGGGTCATCCCTCCTTGGTGGCCTTCAATCCATTCCAGTTCTTGATGTTGGATGTTTCACCCCAGCCAAGGCTCCTCCATACCCAGACACTGCTCCCACATGGCTCAGTAGGGGCAGAGACCTATCCTAGTCTGTCCTACATCTACCCAGGTTCTCCAGATGGTGCTGGAG